AGTTTCAATCTAAGAAAAACATCCCCAAATCCAGCCAGTGACAGCTTCAAAACATAAACATTGGCATCTATGGATAAAAGAAATATAGTCATTCTCTGGGCTTCCATAACTTTCACAATTCTCAACAGCAGCTCCACCAAATTTGATGTTTCACTCATGTTAGCGTTAGTTGTTGGCACCCTCTTCAAAGTGTGACCCTATGAAAAGAAATGTGATACAGCCCAGTACTGAAAGGTTAAGAATATACAAATCACAAAGCACTGAATAATGGATGGTGCATACGTTTCCCTTTTTATTTTAGACAAAGATGTTGTGTTTGGTCTCCATTGATCTACAATACACAGCATCCCAGGTAATGTAACACCTTAGCTTGTTTTCTCTTTTCCTAAACTGCTCAAGGAACACCGAGTGATGGGCATCTTGGTCATACATTAATAAACTCAAACACCTTGCCGAGAGGATAACAGTATAAATACGGCTCACTCATGAACCCTGTCACACAAAATACTGGACCCACCCAGGAAAAGCTTGAGATTTGATCCGGGCAGTTTTTGGCCGGTCATTCTGCAGTGATACTCTGTTATGATGATGTTTCCACAGATTGTGCCATCAGGGTAATTCTATACCTCATTCCATTGCTTAGCTTGTGACACACACATTAGTATTGACCACAAACCATGAGACAGCAGATCTGCATCGCCCACAGAGGATACGCGACCATAGAGATGAATGGAAGGTCAGCCGGTGCATTGATATTCAGCACGCGGCCATATGGGGTAGCGTGTATGCATGTGCGCAACATCAACTGCCTGTCGTGTGCCGTCTCGCTCTCTCTCTATATCACACACTCACACACACACACACAACACACACAATCTATGACTCTCTCCTTCAGCTGTAAGACAAACAGAGGGGAGGGGAGACGACGGGGGCAGTCAAGTGGCACGTGTGCAAGCTGTCGTCTGCACTGTGATATCAGCACAAGTGCTTAAAGAGCCTCATATGCGCATGGAGACAGTAATAGTAGACACCCGTATGACAAGAGAGGTGAGATCATACACGGTTGTGTGTGTCACGCAGGTGGCCAGTTGCGTGGTTTCCACAGTACATTTTGTTCATCTACACAACTGCATTCCCCCCCCTTTAACGTCGCTGCAGTGTGGCTACCTGGCTGTGGTAACGCCAGTGTGGTGTAATGCAGCGAGAGTGTCACTGAGTTCATGGACATAAACCAACCCACTGCCAGACCAGTCTGCTTCTCTCAGGCATAGCAATGGAGGAGGTGTGTGTGTGTGTGTGTGTGTGTGTGTGTGTGTGTGTGTGTGTGTGTGTGTGTGTGTGGCGGCGGTGCGGGGGTAGGGGAAAGATTGGAAAATGGCGAGAATGGGAGGAAGAGNTGGCTGTGGTAACGCCAGTGTGGTGTAATGCAGCGAGAGTGTCACTGAGTTCATGGACATAAACCAACCCACTGCCAGACCAGTCTGCTTCTCTCTGGCTTTGCAATTGAGTGGGTGTGTGTGTGTGTGTGTGTGTGTGTGTGTGTGTGTGTGTGTGTGTGTGTGTGTGTGTGTGGGTGGGAGGGTAGATTGAGAAAGATTGGAAAATGGCGAGAATGGGAGGAAGAGTCAGGGAGGCAGAAAGACAGACAGGCAGAGAGATAGACGGGGTAAGTGGGAGACAGCGAGTGATAGACGGAGATGTCCGAGGGATATAGATGTAATAGGTGGAGGGGAGGCAGACGGATGCCAAGAAAATAGTGCCCACTCCCTCCGCTCCCTTGTGTAAATTTACCACCTCGGCGTGTGGCATTTCAAACACAAGGCCATTATCGCTGATAAAATGTTTTTAAAAAGGCAAACACACACACACACACACGTATGCATGCTTTCCCTTTTACTTTTCCTGCTCTGACTCTCAGACACATGCCAGTCTGGAGAGACAATGCAGGCAGACAGGTGAATGAGGGAATTATAATAACCAATAAGAAGAAAGACACAGTGACAGACAGAAAGAAGGGAGGTGAAGGTGGCACGGCCAGACAAAAACACAGCGGAGATATTCGGCAAATAATGAGCTGGGAGCAGAGCGAGATAGAGGGTTTGAGACGGATGGAGGTACAATAAGTACAGCAAGATAAGAATAATTTATAAAAGACTTGACAGGAGACGGTTCAGTAACAGCAAGATGATCACTGATTAGGAGTGAAATGGCTGAAAAGCTTAATAGCACAATTGTTGGAAAGATTATGAAGCTCAATAGATGAAGATTATTTACGCGAATGATTAGCCCCTCTGTGAATTTTTCACATTCCGCCGTCTGGTATTTTTAATCGTATCAGGAAATACCAAAGGAGTGGATGCACCCCGAAAGAAAATATCTACAGTGAGTTTCCTCAATCGCAAACCGCACACTCGGTGCAGGATCCTTTACTTGTCATCAGACCAGCATTCAGCCAAACAGGAGATAATCTGTACTCTTCAGCTGCCTATGACCAGTGATTCAGTTTGACACCTTAATCTGTGGAAATCACAGAGGGCTCCTCCATGGAGCCAACTGTATTTACTATAGATTACATCTTCCACTAGTGTGCATTAGTCCGGTGACAGCTTTGCAGACTGCAGGGAAAACAGCAATCATACACCACTGACTGACTCACTGTGCTGTGATTTTGCCACTTGCCAAATGGACTCATAGGACCCCCCCCCCCCCCCCCCCCAAAAGAAAAACCATTTGTCTGAGTGACTGTCTATCTGCCACTTACATGCTCTGTCTCGAATTTCTGTGGCTTGAAACTCAAAGTCGGATCCACTCGCATTCTCCTGCCGTCACCTTGATCAAAGCGTCCGCCCTATTTTTTTTCTCTTTCGCCTTGATAATTGAATAATGCAAATCAGGGTAAGAGTGCGCTCACGTCACATACACAATCATTTTTCCACACAAACACAGCGCTCATCTGCATTCGACAGACTGCCCTGTGACTGCCGAGGACAGCAGGGAGATGACATCACTTCTAAAGGACAGATTAGTTGGAGGATGAAACTAGAAGGTGGGGGAGGATAAGAAAGGAGAACAAATTCACAATCCCTCATTCCCTTTTAAACTAACAGAGTCAAATGCAGGTATCCTCTCCCTCTATTTAAGTCTCTTTCTTCCCTCACACACACACACACACTCATTGGAGTTGTATGCGAAATTCGGAGTGCATCTGCGTGACTCTGAGCTCTCGCTGTTCTATACTCTAATGACCTTGTAGATCTGCCGGCTCCGATCTGCAGAGAAGTTTTTTATTTTTTTTTTCTCAACCGCCTCAGAGCCAGAAACACAGAATGAGCCATAAGACAGAAAGCTGCAGAGAGAGACAAAAGGCAGGAGGATGCACGAGGAAGTAAAAAACAGAGGAAGAGTTGTCGAGATTAACGGGTGAGAAGGGTGTGTGTGTGTGTAGGTGTGTGTGTGTGTGTGTGCGCGCAAAACAACAGGGAGAATACAGACGGATGCGGTGTGTGTTGCAGCGTTAGTTTCACGACATCACCTCCGGGAGCTCACGCTACATTTTTCATCCACAAAGTTCCATCAACATTCATGCAATGTGATATATGCTTTAGAAAAAAGGTTGTGCTTTCAGTTTTCTGTACTTCTCAATTACCCTGGCATTGGAGCAAGGCACCATTATGCAGAGCTGTCTCCTGGAGCATCAAAATAAAAGTCTTTCAAGTCTTTGAGAGGCTTTTATTGTAATAATGCTCTATGTAGCTTGGGAAACTGTTGGTTTAGTCACGAAGGTTAGCAACTATGACAACTAAAAACTGCCCTGCATTATGAAATGGATATGCTTCCTCTTCGTGGGTTGGCTTTGAACACTGCAAATTATACTTAAAGAAGATGAAGCTCGCCCTTTTCAGATGAAGGTCTTTTGGAGCCCTTAACAGTTTGAACCTGTCATCATGTCATAAAAGTAAGAGGCACCTTTTAAAACAACTTTCTGTCCGCAGCATGGAATATTTGCACAATGAGTTGTGCATGCAGTAAAGATTCATTAAAAAAGTGTTCAGACCCCAAAGCTAATGCATCACAGGTACTTTCAACTTATTTTAGTATTTAATTGAATGTAATTTAATGCAGAGTTATCTGGTTATTTACTTTCTTTTTGTACACACAATAAGCACAATAAAACCATGTCTGCATCCAATATTCATTCTGGAAATATAATCTGTAACCTTTATTATTTGGTCAGTTTACTTCTCTTAATGGAAAACTTTACTGAAGTCTTGCTCGATTCTTTTTTTTTTGAACATGCATTTTTGTTTGTGCACATGCATGTGTGTTATAGTGTGTCAGTGTCGCACAGACGGCCTGCGTAATGCTGGATTTTGAATCATTTCCTGAGGGCAGCTGTAGTGTAAACACCAGTAGTCCTGCCATTACACAGGAGGAGTGTGGGGCCTGTCATACGCATGTGAGTGAATCGGTGTGCGTTTCTGTGTTTTTGTTTTAATTCATTCATCCATAAACGTGAGTGCTCATTTAAGCTTGAGTGTAAATCACACAACGGGGATCTCAGTGCAGTCCAGGAAGAGTGAAAGAGAGAGACAGAGTTGAGTCTGCCAGGAAAGGGAATGTGTGTCAATGTGTGTGCACGAGTGTGTGCTAACTATTCTGCGGAACATTAAACACTAACGTTACCCATTCTTTCGTCTGCTCAGCTCTTTTCCACATTAAAAACTGTCCCGCCTCCAAGTACCACACTTTAGCAGTGAAGCGTGGTGGCGATCTGCATATGTACACACATGCAAACTCGTACTTGCAGTCATGTAACTCACTCAAACACGCATCCCACTCAAACATCCAGATGGTGAATTAAAAAAAAAAAAAAGAAGCGATATGGCAGAACAAAGCAGAAAAAAAGTAAAGCATGGACAACTCAGTCGTGTGTCTAAACAAACACAAAGTAACACACAACACACACACACACACACACAGAGTAAACAGCAAAGACTTACTGTATCTCTGCAAGGACTCATCTGACTGCTGCTGAGGGGAGAATGGAAAGCGAAAACCTCATGCTTGCTTCGCGGCACTCCTCTCTTTCACTCCCTCTGTCACTGCCCCCTCCTCCTTCCTTTTTCCTTCGCTTTCTCCCTCCCCTGCCTCTTTTCCTTCCTCCTCCTCCTCCTCCTCCTCCTCCTCCTTTTTCTTCCTTCCCTCCCTGTCCTTCACTCCCTCGCTCCTTCTCTTTCCCTCCTTCCTTCTTGGCAGAGCCTTACTGTATTCAGATACACCAGTCTCCATATAAGGCAGCACAGCTAAACATGTCACACATAATTTATCCACAGCAGGCTGCAAGTTCACCTTTCACAGCTCGCGCTTGGATCGTATGCAAAAGAGGGAGGAGAGGTGGTGGTGGAGGGGAGGAAAGGAGGGAGGGGAACAGACAAACTTCTACTGTCAACAGCCACGTTCCTACAATTTCACAGTGCGCGCGCGTCCCCGTGCATGTGTGTATGTTAACAAATGCTGACAATCAGACCGTGAAAATGCTACCGGAGAACCAAAAATGCAATTCACCTGCACTGTTCCAACACCTCCCTCTCCCTGTCTCTCCACCATCTGTATCTGCAGGCAGTAAATCTTATACAGATGCTGTTTGTGAGACCTGTCCAACCTGCACGCCCCCTTTTTCACCCACCACCACCACCCTCTGCTCCCCTTATCTGTGCCTTTATAAAACACGACAAGAGAGGGAGAGAAAACAATCTGCAAGGAGAGTAAAAATTTAAAAAAGGGTTACAAAGAGGCTGAAAAGAAAGGGAGGAGTTAAACCGTTTTTCGCTTTGAAATAGGGAGATGCAGCTCGAGCGAGAGTGAGAGAGAGAGAGGAGAAGAAGGGTGAGATAAAAATAATATGTCAACAAATAAGACGCCATCCGTAGTGCTGTCTGGTTGCGAGAATCAGCGCAATTCCCTCAGATGGTGTGTCAGGTTTTGCACAATCAATGACTTTAAAAATACATGGTTGCTGACCTCTCTTTCTGCCTCCTCTACTTCCCCCGGCTGAGTTTTTTTTTTCTCCTTTTGTTTTCAACTTGCTGCCTTTATAAGACACTTGAAGAAAAAAACAAGTGCACCACACAGATAGCAGCTGTGGTGGAAAAGAAAGAAAAGAAAAAAAGCAGAGAGAAGAGAGGGAGGGAAAAAAAAAAAGAGAGAGAGAGATTGGGAATAATAATAATAGCTGCACTTGAGTAGCAGTGCTGGCTGGTAGCTTTTCTCCTCCCTCCTCCACAGCTTCAGTCCACTCACAGGACAGCAAGAGTCACAGCTCTGTTGCCATGGCGTCTAACTCCATCAAACGCTACGTCAGGTGCATGTGTGTGTGTGTGTGTGTGTGTGTGTGAGCATGTGTGAGTGTGCGCCGTTGTGTTTGTAGAGGTGTGTATGTCAGGTGGGTGTTACCAAGTGACTCAGAGCCACATCACTGACTTGTGGCTGCAATATATCAGGGTGTTTGGAATTTATCACTGTATTGGCTTGCGTGTGTTTGTGTTTGTGTGTGTGTGTGTGTGTGTGTGTGTGTGTGCAAGAGTGTAAGGGAAAGGTGTTGATTGAACAGCAGCCTGGAGCCCACCCTCCAAACCACCTATGATGGATCTCCACGCTGCTCTAAGTGTTAATGTTTAGCTCCAGCTTCTATAAATATTTATCAATTCGTTCGTAGAGTCAAAGCAACACACTACAGACACTGGGAATATGGAATTTCGATTTTAGAGCTGGCAGGTCATTGTCCTTTGCCCAAAAAAGGTCCTGCAGTTGCCTTCCAGGGTTACGCTGATCCGCGGACGCGATGCGGCGTCTCCATGCGCGCACGCGCCGTCTACAAACCACATGGGCTCTAAACTACAGGGCATGACAGCACTGCTTCTTTTTCTGGACAACACATTGTCTGTAAGATGTCAATGTTATGCTCTGTGAGGACATATTTAGTGTCATCTTCCTCACGCAGAGCATAGAGGTTAGCTACAGAGACATGCTTTATGAGGCAAAGTAGCTGTACAATAATGTAGAAATAATAATATATGAAAAAGATTTTTATACTTTAAAAATAAAGGAGTGCTTTCAGTAGAATTTACTTAAACCTACGACAACAAATATTACAATTATTTCCTTTTAAAGTTGTTACGAACAGCTGCTAATTAGCCGCACATATGAAACATTAATGTTCATTTAAAGTTTTTTTTTCTTTTATCTGGTGATGTTGCAAAAAGTTTAATATTCAGTCTCCTCTTTGCTCTGATTTTGGTCTCCACCAATCGCTGGATGAAGCATGTGGCTCTTCAGCAGCTCTGTGTTCACCAGCAAGTTTTCAACTTTGTCTGCCTTCCTTTTGGGTGCTGAGTGGGAAGCGGAGAAGCTGTTTTTAGAGATTCCTCATAAGAAAAGCTGCCTGGTGCAGGTGAGAGAGCGGTGAGAGCCAACCAAAACAGTGAATTTGTGGGCCAGGAAACCAAAACAATGAGCTAAAATGTGCTAAAGTGTGGGGTCAGGCCATCGTGTTGTGTGGGTTCGTCACTAGTCATGTTACACTAGTTGGACCTATTGTTAATTTGTGCTGCAGGAGACTAATATGATGTCTAGAAACAGTCTAAAAGAGGATCAACTGCCATGTCAGTGTTACAGTGTGATGTGTGCTTTAAATGTAAGCAGCATTCTAATGTTGTTGCTGTTGTTGTGCTAACTAGCGGTATTTTTAAATGCTCTCTGTGAGACTTCAAGGTATGAAAATGCACAGCGCTCATTTCCCCTGAGACATTATGAAGCAGAAAAGTGGTATATCATGCAACTACACAAATAAATACGAAGTCTTTCAGTAAACTTGAGTAAATGTACTTTCCACTGGCAGGCTGCTAGTCTGAAGGAAGAGATGATGAAGAAACAAGGCACAGTGAAAGGTTTGGGACCTGCAGATAATTGCTGCAATTGCAGATAATTTAATGCACACTAAGGTTCCTGCTCACTGCTCTGCTGATGTCTGTGTGCGGGGGGAGACAACGAGAAGGACTTTTGAGGCACTACTTTCTAAGTCGAGCCCTTACATCCTCTTTCGTTCTGATCATATCAAAACGAGGTCACGGACTCTTGAACATGTGTACCCTGTGTTCCACATCATTAAAGGCAGGAATGAAGAAAAATCCTGAGACGGAACGAGTTCAAGTTGGACGAGGAGATCTGGATTCGTGTATCACCTTTGATCCGCGCTGCTAAGCAAAGCCAGAGCTGGACCAAGATCTACTGCAGAACCTTTGCAGATCTTGCTGAATGGAAAAAACTGGTGCGAGTCGGACACGTTTTCAACATTCATGGCAGGCCTCCGCTCCGTACACGCATGACCTTGCAGAGCTCCTGTGTCTTTCGCCTCAATCCGAACAAGCTTTGTGAATTCGTACCAACATATTCCGGGCCTTTAATATGTGACCTCAATGGAAAATATGGGAATCTGTCAACACAGAGCTCTATAACAGACCAGTAGTAAAATCTATGATTGTTCAAAAACTTCCTAATGTCTCGAGCTCACCACTGAAATAGTTCTGGTATGACCACTGTTATTCAGAGAAACGCTGGATTTACTCTCATGGTCTGCTTGAGCCAAACCACTTCTTCTTTTTTTTTTTTCTTCAACTTTTAACTAAAGACAGACATGCATTCTTTTGCTTTTTTTTTTTTCCTTTTCTTTTCTGCTTCTTACAGTATCTCTCACCCACCCTGGAGAACACATAAAAGCCAGATAGAGCACAGCCACATACATGTATACGCATTTGTCAGGCTGCTTAAGCACCAGCGCTAAATTATTGCTAAGCGGAGTGAGTCAGAGATATAGATACGACTGTCATGTAGGTGTCTGGTGGATAATTCTATCAGTCGACAGCACAGACAGTGGAGGGACGCTCTTAATGAAAGCAACCATAATGAAAAAAAGAGGAGCCTCTCCATTTTGAGTTTTGACAGGTGGATTTCTGCCGAGAGAAGTGGTGCTCCGTCAGTGCTAAATGGAGAAAAACTGAATATTCAAGAGTTGTTTTTCTGTTTTTTGTCTGATCTGCATTATTTTTTTTCTCATCTTGCTCAGTATAAACAGTTACACATCCATGATACACACTGTCACAATGTACACAAATACAACTCTTTCAAAGCTCTTTAGAGATTATTCAGTAATCAACAATGTCATAAATAAAATCACCTAGACTTGTATTTTATATAAAAGCTCTTAATATTTAAATTCTGTCCTTCCTGAAGTAGGTTTAATTTAGAAATCATTCTGTTTTAAAGCGATTTCTCACTCTAAGCCTTTTTTCTTTTTCCTCTTCTCTCTCTTCCTGTTGTGTCTCTACATACAGTAACAGTTTTGAAACATGATTTCACCAGAAGGTCCCAGTGGAAAGACCAGAAATTTCTCATTTGAGTGCTGGGGTAATAAAGTTTAAGAGTCCTTGCCCTAAGCTGCTGCAATCGCTCTTTCCAGCCAGTCTGTGTCTCTGGCGCAACAGATATGGTCACACAAGCCTCAGTGGCCGTTAAACCACAAAATGACCCGTAACGGAGGAAGCCACGCTTTTTTTTTTTACCTGTCAGTCAGCTCGCATTGGTGTCATTTTAACACAACATGTAGATAATCTAAAAATAGCCAAGCAATGCGATACAAGCAGCTACCACTTTGGAAATCCTGAAAAGCCTCGTTAATGATTGCCGTGGTGAAATGTGTAACTTCTAATGCTTCATTGGCTCCAACTGTTTCTGGCTGGGTACATTAGGCATAGATTTAAAATTTAAATGGCATAATTAACTGGCATGGTTTGCATGCAAGCATTTGAAACAGCAATTTAAAAATTTATGCTTTTGTCGAATAATTTAAAAGCATTGATTTAATTTGTTGCTTTTCAAAGTTAAACGGTCCAGAATGATGAATTCTGTTCATAATCTCCTAAAAGTTACAGCGGTCATCAGCACTCCATCACTTAAAAGCAGATTCAAATTGCCTACAGTTAAAGAATATCTGCAACATGGATGAAAAAAAATAAAAATAAAAATAAACGAACCCATTAACAGATAGAAACTAACAGATATTCCACATGCATCTCAACCACATGGAT